GTGTGAAAGCAAGTGTGTCCGTGGATTTTTGAAAAATGGAAAAAGAGCAGTATCGGTCGGTGATTCGATTCTTGTTTTTGGAAGGGAAATCGCGCAGCGAAATCAAAAAGCGCTTGGATGCTGTGTACGGCGACTCTTCTCCTTCGATGAGGACCGTCAAAAATTGGTTTAACGAGTTTCAACGTGGTCGCACGTCGATTTTTGAAGAGCCACGTCCAGGTACTCCGAAAACGGCTACCACGGAGAATAACGTGACAAAAATTCACGATCTCGTATTGGCAGATCGATGATTGAAGGTGCGCGAGATAGCTATGATCGTAGGCATCTCAAAAGACCGCGTGGGTCATGTCCTGCATGAAATTTTGGGTATGAGAAAGCTGTCGGCGCGATGGGTGCCGCGTTTGCTCACTCTGGACAACAAGCGCAACCGTGAGACAACTTCAGAGCAATGTCTGACGCTGTTTAAGCACAATGCGAAGGAGTTTCTGCGTCGTTTCGTGACAGTCGACGAAACATGGATCCACCGGTATACACCAGAGATCAAGGAACAGTCGAAACAGTGGACTTTACCCGGCGAAAGTGCTCCGAAGAAGGCGAAGACTTAACTGCCCCATCGGCTGGAAAGGTGATGGCCACCGTTTTCTGGGATTCACAAGGTGTGATCTACATAGACTACTTGGAGAGGGGCAAAACGGTCACAAGGCTGTACTATGCCGAATTATGGGCCGATTCGACGTCGAACTGCAGAAATAACAGCCCCATTTGGCGAAGAAAAAAGTGCTCTTCCACCATGACAACGCACCGGCTCACACCTCCGCCGTCGCCATAGCCAAATTGGTCAAATTAGGCTACGAACTGCTGCCCCATCCACCGTATTCTCCAGATTTAGCCCCGTGCGACTTCTTTTTGTTTCCAAACTTGAAAAAGTCACTCGCCGGGCAGAAATTTGAGTCGAATGAGGAGGTAATCGCTGCCACGGAAGCCTACTTTTCAGACCTCGAGGAAACGTATTTTTCAGACGGGTTATTAAAGTTTGAGCATCGCTGGGCCAAGTTTATCGAACTAAAAGGAGACTATGTTGAAAAATAAAACGCCACTTTTCCAAAATTTTCGTTTTTCTTTTGTAGGCTAACTACTTATCGGACCACCCTCGTAGTAAAAGGATAAACAATCACCGGAGAGTATTATGCATCGTTGTAGAACCGGTTAAATAAAAGAAAAATGTCCTTATTTGAAAAAAAGAAAATTCTGTTTCATCAAGACAATGCACGAGTGCACACTTGCTTAGTTTCAATGGCTAAAATTAAGAAATCGAAGTTCAAATTAGTAAAACAGTTACCATATTTATTAGATTTAGTCCCTAGTGACTATTTTTTATTCCTAATCCTAAAAAAGTGGTTCCTCGGAGAACGATTCATCTCGAATGAGGAGATCATAACGCAAACAAATAGCTATTTTAAGGAACTTCCAAAATTATTTTTTTCTGATGGCTTAAAAAAACTTGAAGAACGCCTGAAAAAGTGTATCAGCTAAAAGGAGATTATGTTGAAAAATAAAAAAAAATCTACCAAAAAAAGATTGTTTTTCTATCTTTTTTCTAAGGACTTATTGACCCACCCTCGTAGCATCTATTACTGACTATGATGGTGTAATTAGTATATCCAAGATCGAACAGAAATGCTTTTCGTTTAGGTATAATATTTTCAGGCTGCTTGCCTGCCACGATTAATTCTTTTAGGAAGTTACTTCTTGCGTTAGGATTTTGTGTTCTCGCTTTGGGGTAAAAGTCTACTGTCATTATCAAAAGATATTTCCATTTAAGAATCTTCTATGATACCATAGTAAAATTATGTCACCGATCAAAATCAGTCTAATAACTGCATTCCTTCTTCAATTGCAAAATCATATAGTATCGTTAGTCCGAGTGAGATTTATTTGTTGGATAAGATTACTGAAAATATCAACTATATCGCTATGATTTAGAAACAAACTTCTTTTTAGATACTTTTAATACTTCATAAAGAACGCATGATAACCTCAATTTATATTCTCTACCTTTATATGTTGGCTTTGCAAACTTAAAATACAGTTACTTCAGCAATTGTTTGAGATATTCTCAAGAGATTTGGCTATTTTTTATGCACTTAAAGCTTCTTGCCTTGCTCTCGTACATTTTAGCAGTGACGTACTTTATTCTAATTTTACTTATTTGATGTGTTTCTGTGGCTGTTATGACTTTGTGACGGAGGATCGCGGCATATCCATCGTCCTGCCGTCGAGCTCTTGCCAAGGTCCGCGCGCCCTGCCAAGCTGCGAGTATGTGCATTGAGAGTATACTCTCATGCTTGCGACTTTCTTTGTTAAGGTGTGGTACTAGGGCAAGCGGCGAAGGAAGACACAGGGGGCAGGAGAAGAAAGAGCAAAAAAAAGAGAGAGAGAGATAGAAGAGAGAAAAGAGAAACAGAGTGAAGGAAGAAGAGGAAAGAGAGAGATTATGAGTTCGGCTCGCATCCTCGTTCCGATTTTTGGCAGTATCTGCTGAGTTTTAGCAGGGACCGTCACGCGCGCCGTTTTTTTTTGGTAAGATAGTTTTTCGAGAGAGTTTTCTTCGCGCCCTCGCCGACGAATATATTGATGAGATGCATCCGATGCATGGAGTGTGTGTGTTATTGGCTGAATCGTGTTCAACCACAGAATTACCTTGGTTTTTCCAGAAACGGTGAACGTGTGAGTTCGGCGAGGCGGTGCCGGTGCGCGGGTAAGCGGCCATTACCGTGCACAAAACAATAACCGACAGCGAGGAGAGGCAGTAGCAACCAACAGCGAGACAACAACAGGAGCAACAACAACAATAACACCAAAAGAATTAACAGCAACATCAACGACAGGGACGACGACTACGACAGCAATAACAGCAACTAAAACTAATACTGAGGAGATAACATCGATGACAACGACGGAGATAACATCGGAGCAGGGGATCGGCGGACAAGGTCGGTGCTGCGTTGTTTTTCTCTCTCTCTCTTTTACATGTTACGGGTGTTCACGTCTCGTGGGTAGCGTGTCAACTATCCCTACGGTCGTGATCACCGATTAAATTTTGTATGAACGTCATCGTTTCTATTGTGTTAATTATAAGTGTAATGAATCAGGTGGCAGCTCTGCCACCGATTCGTTTTCACGAGCGCAAGACTTGTTGAAGATCATAGAGGTGCCGGCGATGAGCTCGCCATTTTGTATGCTACTCCGTTTTTATTTCTTGTTTCGCTTTATAAAGTTTGTTTATTGTAAAGTCGCTGTTACAGTTATTTGTCGCTTCATCTCACGGAGAAACCAAAGTTGTCTACGTGCGATTGACGCGTTTTGCTCGGCGCGTGATTCAATTGTGGAAGCATTCGTACCTTTCGAATGCCCCCTTTAAATAATTTGTGCGGACGACTGCGAGCTACTTCTCGACGGAAACGGTCGTATATCCATTATAACTTTCAATTTAAATTTACTAACCACTTACCACACGGGTCCTTTTTGGGTACCTCGAAAAAACTTCTATTTGTTTTGGAGTAACTTTTTCGGATACTACAAACGATACATTTGTGAATTATTGCCATGTTGAGTTTATCACGCAATTCTTTTAATTAACGCCTAAAGCCTAAAGAGAACGCGACGAATTATTTAAGAAAGGGGGAAATTCAGAAGGCTCTATTACTTCGCCAGGATACAAGGAGGGTAAGATTTTAACGCGCGGTTGAAAAGGAAGGGAACAGGCGTAGTCAATAACAATTCTTCAAATCACTTTTATTCATCTATATTACAATAAATCTTTTTCCAAACATAACCGTTTCTTGCCCAACTGGTGAAGGACCACCGTTACAATAACCACGAAGCTTCGTACCGCCATGACGCCGAGGGGTTTTAGCGAAAGGTCACAAAGCTTCTGGCGACGACGAACAAAAGCAACCTTAACAACGTCTGTCTAATTCCGTGGCTCAAATGAAGGACCGCCGAGTTATTCCGGTTAATTCGTGTGTTGCCAGCGACATCGAGAATGAGAGAGGAAAGCACGAACCTTGATTTGGCAGGAAATATAACTTCACTAGAACGAAGTAACTCTTCCACTTGTAGCGCCTTTACAATATTTCTAAAGTTTTCAAGGCTTGATCACACCTCCGTGCAATATCTCACGATGGTCAACGAGGAAGTAAGAAGCCTTCAACCATTAGCCAAGACGCATACATGCGTATGCTTCTGAAGCAGCTGAACTAGTCAGCGGCTCTCTCCTCTTACCACTCGCTCCTTGCAAGAGTTTAGCAGTAGATATTATGCTTATCTGGACATTCTTACAATGCTTCGTCTCGCTCTTATCAACACAGTCGTCCATCGTTGTGCTGGCTTCTTGCCACTATTTTTCATTAACAAATTTGAGCGTGTAAGGTAACAACTTACACACATATTCGACAACGACTCAGGCAATATCACGGACTTTTTAGGGGGAGGGATCTGAAACACCGATCACAAGTTATTATCATTAATATCATTGTCAGGCAGATCATCTATCATTTATAGATAACCTGACTCACACTAATATGATGTAATATTTGGTTGTTATGTTAATTTATGTATTTTATGGTAGAGAAATTGCTCCGTGTTGGTTACTCTCTACGATTGACATCTTATTCTTAGCAACATTCATTATTCTAGTCCAAGTTGTCTATGTACTTCACTATATTGCGAAATGTTGTTTAAGTCCTAGCCTAGTTTTCTCTATACTCAACGCACCTTTACTCACATCATGTTCAAGTTAACTTACGATAATGTGTCTTACAAGTTTCAGAGAAAGCTATATCAGTGCATATATGTGGGAATATATACGCAAGTGTGTATACTTAAGAGCGTGGTATTACACATTCTGAACATAATTAATTTTATCTAATTTTAAAATTTTGACAAAAATTAGACTATTAATTAAAAATGTGATGGTAATTTTAAATGTTCTGTTACAGGAATTACGGAGTAAACGACCGTTTAAGATATGGGACAGTTGGCGTAATATCCGTAAAGGAATTGTAGTAGGCAACTTAGAGGAGTTGATTCACAGAGGTATTTTAACTAATCAAACTTGTAATAATCTTGCGAAATCTGATCTTCTAAGTAGTTTTTATTATATATTATATATTTTTAAATTCAATAACTAATTTATTTTAACCATTCAAAAAACAAATTTTGACATCGCAATTATAATAAGTTTGATCGGTCATCAGAAAATCATTTAAGCAATGTTCGTCATGTATCTTTCGAGAGGAATCGAATACAACGCGGATTTTGGAATTCGGCGACGTTCCTTGTATGACCGTGTGATGAGGTAAGTACTATGAGCCCTGTTGTGAATACGCAACAGTTTTGCATACGCATGAGAGTCTTAAATTAAGATGTCATGAAAACCGCTATAGTTGGTTTCAAAGAGAGCCTAAAGAGGGACATTCTGCGTATTTAGGTGGTGTCGCTGAGCAGCACCGAAGTTAATGGAAGACGCACCTCAAAATAACTGCCAGCATTATGCATGTGAGTCTTGAAGAAAAACTTTTCACACATCTCGTTCACAGATTTTAACTATTAACAGGAGTTCAGGACTTCTTCAATGTTCCGAAAACGCTGGATCACTTCGTCCACGTCGTTGTTTATCGTGCACCATAGAGCCTTTACCGCATGAGCTCTTTCATTGAGTCTGAAATCATCTAGTCCAGTGAAGTACTTTGCACTACTAATAACGTTCCGGTGGATCGTGTGAGCTCTAAGCGCAGCCAATGGCCGTAAAAGGTAACACCTATCAATTGGTCGACTCTGTCGGACAGACGAAGCCTAGATCAGCGGGAAGTAGACCTTTGATGAGGTCAAGTTCTATCTCAACGAGAGTTCAACCTTGCAGTCCCCAACACTCGTTAAGCTCTTTTACAAGCGGTCTCTACGCAGCTCAAGAATATGAACGAGTGCCTCGGATATGAACGTCGCTTTTGAGCTCTGATCGAGAAGGATACTAATGCGAGTTTGTTTGCCATGAGGACTTAAGGAAATCACTTGAGTGGTCGGAGGGAGAATAAAGTTCTCGTCCGCTGCAAAGACTTTACTCCGAAGACTTTACAATCCACCGCGTGTTCCAAGTCTCGACCTACTGCCATCTAGATATTATCCTTCTCTGTAACACAACCGAGGTCCAATATTTCCAGGGACACAAAGTGATCATATCATTAATGCTTCTACACAATCGTATCTTTTCCTGAGTTAAATACTCAAAGGATGAAAATGCGGTGTAAGATAAAGAAAATTGGATAGTAGTAAAGAAATGGATTGTAGCCACCTTGAATATTTCACAAAGGTTATTGGTTATCGCATCCTGAAAAATACACTAGGTGTTATCTCGTACTGTTCTCTAGGCGTCTGCAATTTGGTATGTAGTCACTGTGTGAGAGAGCCTTGACGTCGCCTCGACTAGTTAATCCAGAGAGCTCAGTTACTAGTCCGATCAATGTTAGAATAGATTAAGACGAAAAAGAGCTAAGGTATGAGAACGCTCTATGATCCTCCTGTAAGTCCCAATGGAAGAAGGTAGAAATGATTCACAAAAATTTGTTCTCAAACGCAAGTTGCTTGCATCAAAGGGGGAGTGCCATGACATCAGTACGCAATTCGATGCTAGCTGAGACTTGTTCAACAAACAGAAAACAAGTATCATCAAAATCGTGTTGTGAGTTAACCAACAACAGGATTTGATTTGTCATCGAACTACATTGTAAGAATAGGACACATGGCAAAACATTTATACTTAATGTTTGCCATACAGTGACGTGATAGATTTCTTGCCTTTGACAAATTAGTTTGACAAAAAAAATGGTAAAATTAGAAATTTATGGCGAAAAATGTAAAAAGAGGCCTCCATAATCAGAACGTATGGCCTGAACAATGCTCCTTTCAGGCTCTAGAGCGATCTGCAAGATCTTAGTCACTTTGCAAGTCTGCTTTCCATGTCGAGTCTAGATAAGTACAGTGCCGTCCTTTGCTTTGAATATTTCACTGATATCCGTCATATGGTTTCCGCTAATTATATTATTCGAACCGTATCTGCGTTCGATTATCCGTTGACTGGATTGATCAGGACCTTTTTCTTCCTCATTCTCGGAGGATCGCGGGTTGACCTCTGCCGATTGTGCCCCTATCGACGTATCCTTTTTTTTTATGTATGAGCATTTGTTTTGGGTACTTGGCTTTTGTCTTCGTCTTTTTTTACCATTTCCATCTATGTTTATCTCTGGACGGTTTTTACGATTGAGTCGGTACTGGCAATTTCTTTCTTCGACTCCTCATCTTCGGATATAAGGATAGCAGAGACTTTTCGTTGACCTTGCGCTCTTTATTTTTGTTTTTCTTCTTCCTCTTTACTTTCTCTGGTTTACTCTCAAGGCTTATGTCTTTCCTGTAGTGGATATTTGAAGCCACTGTAAGTGATCTCAATCTGCCATTTTTGTCTTGTCTTTTAATTTGTCGGTGGTTATGGTCCTCGAAATAGTTATCGACCCTGCGAATAGCCTTGTTGCACAAGCCTTACGATCTGTCGACGTTTCTTTGGGACGCATTAGTATTCTTTTGCTTCTCACATGCAGCCATAATTTTTTGTAGTTCCTCTTTAGGTTCTTGATGTGAAATTTTTGACACCTCATGAAATGCCGGCGCCTCCTTCACACCTTCCCCAAATACCTCCGTATCAGCAATGAACTCTACGCTTAGGAACGATGTGTCACTAACTTCACTGTGGGTAGTTCTAAAATAAGATGAACTGCCGAGTTTCGGCGGTTGACCGATTCTCAGTGCGTTCAGTAATTTTGTTCCACTAATACCTCCTTCTTCTTGTGCTTATATTTTGTGTATTCATCTTATGCTTGTATGTATACTTACGATAATTCCTCCGTCATAGAAATCTCAGACGTACTGAAATTGTTGTTTCCACCTAGTAGCTTTAACCATGTTAGTGACTGAAAACATTAAATAGTTTATTGGGTGGTCAGTCCTATTAATACTTTTTTTATGCCTCCTTTTCGCCAACAAACCTAGTTATGATCTTGATTTAATCCTAACTTACGGCTAGATGTTATTACGAATTATCATATGTAACGACGGATATAAGGAAATACTGATCAAATAATCTTTCACTTCTGCGACCTACAGCCTAGTTTCAACCTCGTCATCTTCAGTTCGCTAACGGCGTTCCTACATGAAACATTGTGTTTCATGAGTCAGGGCTCTGCAGTGTTCAACTTCTTAACGCGGTGTTCAGCTTAGCAGCTTAACAAATTGTTCATACTACCAACCTAGCGGTTAGGTACTGTCGTTACACCACGCTAACCAATCAGTTGGCTACTATTCTTCCCTTGATTAGTTTAGTAGAAATATTCAGGAATATCTACCGTACACCGACTGCAGCCCATTTATATAATCTTAGGTACACATATATTCATACTAGTATTTCATTCGTGGAGAAGAAACTCCACCACAGACTGACGAAGACCCATTACTGCAAGCCAGCTTCATTTCTCGCCGGGCAGTAGATCCTCTATCTGTTATCTGAGGACAGTTATAGCCCGATTGCACAGGCCCACGATACTCCGTAGTTAGGTGATTTTGAGCGAATACATTGCTACATAATATATATGAGCGAATATGGAAGATGGCGTGTCCCGCGTATGTGAAGTGAATGAGAGAAAGAAAGAGGATCAGAGAGAAATCATGAAGATAACGAAGATACTTTGTTTGCCACAGAGTTAATAAGCCGCAATTGTGTATTCCGTGTTTTGATGTAACGATAATAGCAGAAACAAATTGTTACAATAATATAAGAATAGGAGATTGTAACATTAGAGTTTAATGTACTACGGGTACTGTAATGAGATCTGTCAGTGCCAAATTTTGAAATAGCAGCCGACGTAAGATGAAGGTAGGGACTGGTAATATAAGCGATCATTTTGACGTAGTCGATCGAAGTGCAATCAACGCCAATTTTTAAAAAAGCCTTTTGTTTTATCAAGTTATCTGTAACGTTTGAATCTCTCTCGCGTTATGAAAATAATAGTTCGGACTCTTTACATTGAATTTCGCAATTACGTCTCCGAGAAAAGCAAGAAGTTGACACGCGCGCAATCTAAATAACAAAAGAAAATCTTTCGAGTGGCAAACCACGAGGCTTACCAACTCGATGAGCTGCTTCGAAATGCAATTGAGAGCAATCGCATCTATCGGAGAGAGGCCCGACAGCGCCGCGATCACTGCTCAATTTAATTTCTCAACAGTAAATGTGTATCAGGAGGGAAGATTTCTTAGGCTGCTTTTTTCTCATGAGAGAGATAGTCTCATGAGTTGAGCGCTTAGAGATCTGTAGGAAAGGAATTTAACAGGCTAACCACTGAAGAAGAAATTCGTCTCAGGAAATAGCTGAGGCTTTATTTCTACACAGTACTCGCGCTGCAAAGCAAGGTAAGAAAATGAGTCCTCTTGCCGCAGCGACGAGCGAATTTATACATGCGAAATGGGCTCCTTTCTACGCTTGGTAGCCCCTACAACGCTATTTTTGTCATTGACGCAAATTTTGTACACGTTTTATCGCAAAATGGCTCGATCGAAATTGCAATTATGCGATTTAAAAAATTAAGCTAGAAAAGATGAATTTTTTAACATATTTTGCATCTCGAGGAAAAATCGCCTCTCAAAGTTATAAGTTATACAATTTAATAATCGAATTACGCTGTTTTTACAATAAAATTATGAAAAATTTTTACATGAAAAAATCGCTTGTGGTTAGAAGAATGTTATTCAAATAAAAGATGATTAATGTTGCTCTCTAATTTTGAATAATAATTAAAAAACAGATTTGCAAATTTCTTTTTTAGTGGTTTAAAAATCAGCAAATTAGTGACAATCATAATCATCAATTTTACAGATACGTGTGATCGATTTGCTATCTAACAGTGTTATTTTAATTGTTTAAAAAAATTATAAATTGTTTATTTATTGATAACTTAGGGAATAATTAGTTATCAAAGTGTCAAATTATTGCT